GGAATAAGACCCAAAGTAATTGGATTCACCCTGCCAGGATTGATAAAACTTAACAATTGGTTAATCAAGCAATCAATCATTAATGTACATATCTTGAACATCTTGGAGAATTGCGAGTATTTTTCAACTTTTAGAAGTAACGTATGCATTTTTGGCGTCTATAGGTCTATGGTAATGAGGCAATCTGATATACATATAAGTTAGAACTAATCCTGTAAGCTAGGCGTCCGTATGCAACAGTAGTCTGGGATCAAGACCAGAACAGCTGTCGAGCCTCAACGTAAGCGCGCACCATTCACAGCGACCTTGTTGCCAGGTGTCGCCATCAATAACGACAAACACTTCTTCACAGGTTACCAGACCGCCATAACTGACGCACATTTTGACATCCTATCACTCAAGCTGTTAATGCCATTCAAGTAATTAAAGGTGGTTTTACCAGTCTTTCCGTTTTGTACTCGACGCAGGATGTGACATTTGGCGCATGCAGCTGAATTCATTTGTTTGTATTAATTAAATCCAAACGGAACTATCAGACGGGCGTTAATTGCAAGAGCGCGCCAAGCCATTCGTTGTAATTGTAAAAAAAGGTCCATCTATTTGGTGACAAAGACATCACGTTCCCTGTTGTGATGAGGCAACATATGCATGAGAACTATGGCTTATTAACACTGAACACGCTAAACGTTTGTATACACTTTCTTTTCATGTGTGACACGACCCAACGAAATGCGTCATCAGTTACCAAAGCTGCATTGACTTGTAACGGAAGCTTACAAAACGGGCATTTATTGGAATAATCACCATTTCACCCAAAACAATCTTTGTAGGCCTATATTGAAGTTGTCCGACTTAATCAAAATGAAGAATAAGTTTACGTGTCTTACCGCATTTAAAAGCCTACGAAGTAGGCAAACGCCAAACGACCATAAACACACAGCCGACTTTTCTAAGTTGGATGATATAGCTATTGCATACATCCTGTTAAGTTTAATAGTACCCACAACACGGAGGCAAAATGTTCCCACCTCACCTGATTTGCTGACGTCATTTCACACAAATCCGAGCCCGGGATGTTTTCAAATCACGGCCATTGAAATACTATCATACAACAGAACGCGAAAATCGTGACCATTATTGAAATGTTAGATGCGGGCATGCTACGCCTAGGTCACCCCCGAAATACAAGTCCATGAGACACCCACGGCTAAATATCTGACGGCTCAAACATCGCAGTTTTTGAAGTCAAGAGGCGTTTAACACAACGTCCGACCGTCGTCAAATTTCACTCAAAAGTCAGTTAGGACATGTTTTACGCAAGTGTTTGAACTTGCACACAAACTCTTTCTTCTTATTCTATACAGGGTGAGTAAAAAAAACCGAAACCCAAATGTCGGGACTATTGTTTTAGTGAAGCTCTGCATGTAGCACTTTCAAAATCTAGGATAAGAAAGCCCAATTCATAAGCTTTATTTTAGTACAAGAATCATTCAAATCACTCGTGTACTTTTCAAGTTACGGAGTTTTAAACACAACTAAGTTCTGTCACGGATCACAAAAAAGGTGTGCGTTCTTTCAGCAAAACGAAAACAATTCACACACATCCCTATGCGATTTGTTTTCATTTTACTGAAAGAACAGAACTTTTTTGTGATCCGTGGACAGAACCTTAAAACGGTGGTTGTGTTTAAAATTCCGTAACTTGAAAGTACATGAGTGATTTGAATGATTCTTGTACTAAAAGAAAGCTAATGATTAGGCTTTTTTACCCTAGAATTTGAAAGTGCTACATGAAGAACTTCACTAAAACAATGGTCGCAACATTTGGGTTTCGTTTTTTTTTTTACTCACCCTGTATTTAGCCGTGCGCACACACAAAATGTCGTATAGAAGTGAATAGAAATAACAAGTATTCAAACAGATGAGAGCATACGCCGTAGGTGTCACGGTGACCCTTTCTCAAAGCTTCGATGACTTTGGTGATCATCCGTATTTTGTTCTAACCTTTATAATACTTTTCTTCTTTCCTTGTGACTGTTTGTTTTAAATTAAGGGCATTTCAGATTATACAAGTTTTGAATTCTTGAAAATGTTTCCGAGCTAACTAATTATGTTGTTGCAGTGTTTTAAGACGCTTTGTCACTGTCATGGTATCAGATATGAAATAAATGTCCCACTGAACCAACTGAAAATATTTGTCTTTCACTTGACATGGGCCGTTTCCGAATGCTAACGATCACGCGATGAGTACACTTGAGCAGGCGATCTCTGTATGCATCCTTACCAGGAATATGTAATAACTAACCATGTCCATGCCGAACAAAGTGACAACCGTACCAACGAAGAACGGATTGCCACAATCTACACAGTTTATGTATATATGATGCCCCAGGAAATTATGCCACAAAACAAACCCAGACAGATAATAATTCAATCAGTTGTCCTTAGAGAGAGGAAAGATGTGACAGGCTAACAAGGTCCGGCCGCTGTCAAGGGTTTATAAATGCGATGTGGTGCATCTAACAGACCATCAGAAAAAAACCATGATATAAGTAAACTCTTCTGATATGCCATATACTATACTGATGACGTACCACGTGTCATGATTTAACTTGTACTGATGATATTATGTCATGATATAAGTATTACATGTATTAGTATACTCTGTTGATATACCATAATAAAAGTGTTCTCTGCTGATGTGTAACGACACATCTCTGCTGATATACGATGATATAAAGGTACGTATACTCCGCTGATATGCCATGATGTAAGTATACTCACCATGATATACTCTGGTGGTATACCAAGATATGAGCATAAGTATACTCGGCTAATATGCGATGATATAAGTATAGGCCTACTCTGCTGCTATGCCATGATGTGATTATACTCTGATACCATGATATACTCTGGTGGTATACCGAGCTATGGCTTATACTCCTCTAATATGCGATGATATAAGTATACTCTGTTGATATGCCATAAGGTATGTCACCAACAGATGCATACAGACAACCAATGCTGGTACAATGTCAGATACAACTTTGACGTACTATTTGAAAAAAAAAACCACCTCAATCCCCCCCCAAAAAAAAGTATGATCATTTACTTTCTGTCCGAACACTTACACAAAGTCGGTTAAGACAGGGTGGTATATTTGCCTATCAGTCGATGATCATGAATGAACTCTATTCAATCGTTTCTTTAGAAAACTAAATGATAATACAATGCCTGCTTCAAAGTTTAACCCTTCTGAATTCGATCCATGAATATACATCCCCTGTCCATGTACTAATCCAAATTACTATGCAAATTATCCTTTTTTATGATGCATTGAAATCTTGGCCAGCCATGGAATTTAATTAAAAGGGTAATTGGTTCTACGCATCTCGGAAGACGAACCACGAAGAAAGATCAAAGCGCAGCAGATTTAAAAGCACGGGTTAACGATAACGGAACGGGATAAGTCACAGGATTGCGACACGCATCGCTGGTAGGCGGCCTCTTCTTAAGAGCTAAAACTATGTAAGTTTAATGCATCCAGGGGTTGGTGGACCGTGCAATGGTGTTACGCACGGTCACTGGTCCCCCGACCACAACTGGTTCCCGTAGGGTAAAGAACGGGAACAAAGTAATAACACATAGTACCGCTTAGGAGAGACAACTGAATTACATTCCCTTACATCTGGGACGTTCAAATTGCGATTTGCACGCCGAAAATTGATATAAATGTATGACGCTTGCTTTGGACGATTCAAATCAGACCACACATTAAACCTGTCCATTGCGGTCACCTGTCCTTTGCATCCATTTTTACTGGGTCTTTTTGGTTGCTTCCTAAAACACGAGACTGGACATTTCGAAGCCAACTAAGTTTGTAACTTTACAAATCCTTCAAATCAAGAAGTTGACTCAGTCTTCTTTTGTTAATTTCATTTTCTTGGTACATTTTACTTAACGATATGAGATATTCAAAACAAAACGTTACAAGAAACTTACATATTATGTTACTCGTTTAATTACACAATAATATACATTGTCGAGGAATTAAGAATGATACAAAGGAAGCCGTAGAATTTGTGCTCGAACTCGAATCTCGAAAGATTCGTAAATACCCGATTTGGCGATATCACGACTCAACTTCCAAAGAAATAGAGCTCCATTTCCAAACTATTCGGAATCGATTCCGGTTACTTCAACAGAAACTCACTATTGAAGTTGCGGCAAACCCCGTGCTCTGGTATTCCAACACGTATTCTATCAACTACTCGGAACTCGACAGTTTTATGAGGGTCTATTCGAAGAAAAGTGAGTGGCACGTGACATTTTAAACCACGCACAGAGTTTAAAAAAGACTGAGCAGTGGCGTATAACTAGGATTTTTTTTAGTGGGGGGGGGGGGGGGGGGGGGGGCACAGGAGGGGGCATCAGAATATATTGGGGGAATGATATCGCAAACGTCCTATTGCAGTTGTTTCCTGTTGGGCCCCATAAGACATAAGAACATCAGATATTGTAAACAGTAAGCCTTAGACTAACTGAAAAAAAAATGCAACTTACCAAAAAAAAGGAGAAAAAGGATCATTATCAGTATTTGGGGGGGGGGACCTGGTGGAAAATGTGTGGGGGCCACCCCCCCCCCCCCCCCCCCCCCCCCCGTGGTTACGCCACTGAGACTGATGAGTTTTCATGTTTCAATTTGAATGAGTACATTTTTTTTCACTTTGACGATATGTCCACTGTGGATATACTTCAGTGTTTAGCCAATGGGCGCTTGTACTCATTGTGCGTGCGCGTGTATGACGAAGTCAGTAACGAACGATAGATATCGATCCATTAAACCACGCCCACTGCGCACGTGGGCATTCAACACGTGCTCCGATCCTCTCTAATGCCACACTGCATATCCGGTTCGTTAGTATGACGTCAGTTAAAACCACGCCCACTGGCCATTAAAATAGCATTGGAACCATTGGAACCGGAATCAAACGCAACTTGAGTGTTTATCCAATGGGTGCTAGTAATAGTAATCAGTGGTGCGCGCGCGTGTATGACGTTTTTGCTAACGAACCGGATTCCAGCCGCGCGCGTCATACGCGCGTGCCCACGTGCCGGACTTTGGTACACGCATGTCCGACATTTGTCACGGCTGTGAATGGTCCAAGCACTATTGGGCGGGGCTTAATGGGATTGAATGGATCGGTCCATTACTATGGCCCCGGCGTAACTCCCTGAAGGATTTTGTTCGACAAATGCCGAAAGAAATGCTTTCACTGTAGAAAGAAATACGTATACGGGGCCATATACATAGTGCGGGGCCATAGTTAAAACATATCTATAATGTGAACATGCGTGATTAATAGGTGACAGAAAAAAAGTAACAAATGAAACAAAACAACGATTTGGTTAAAAGTTCATAATAAAATCACATCCAAAAATTCACACCAAGCCTCTTCAAACAAATACTGACTGGTTCGTGTACACGACAAGTACGCCGACAAGGTTTTCATTTTCTAGTTCCATCCTGACAGAAACTATATCCACTGATTTTTTGTTCCAACCTATATTTCTGAAAAATGTTGACTTCTGACAATTTGTCCTGTTGACAATCTGACACTAATGTCCGTCTAACAATACACAACCAACCTTACAGACACTTCACTTCCATATTTCACACACGCACGCAAACAAGCTACATTGTATATACTCTTACTTCTCAAACAATGATCCATATTGGATGGAATGCGTGCATAAAAAACTATGTTCCGCAATACAATACTGTATTATAGACTACACTGCATTTGGCATTATTCTGAATATAGACGTTTTTCAAAAGTTATCAATTTATCGATAAAAATACAAATGCGCCAATACTAACTTTCGGCTTTTCTATAATCTTATCGGGTTTTTTTTTATAATAAACAGTTTTTGTGCAGATAGATCGATATTTTATGACCCTGTATAAAATTTAAAAACCTCACATCTACATCACATAAATAAACAGATTATTTTTCTGTTTTACTTTTATGATTATAAAGTACATACGCGGAGATGGTCTCGCATCGCAGTATTCCAATAGAAACTCCTGAAAAAAATGTCCAGTTAAGCCGCTGGATGGCGCACTCTCGATTTACTAGTCTCGGTGCTGCATTGTACGGTTTGCAATCAAGAACTTTTGCGATTACTGTCATTTGAAAGCGCATATCAACAAGCTGTACAAAGGTTTTCCTAATCGGAACCTTAATCGATTAATAAACTTCAATATTCAATCTTGATAAACATTCTCCTCAGCCCCACTTCAAATAAATGCTGAACTTATAGTATAATAATAAAAGCCGCTCCCAATGTTATGTAAGCATCGTAAAAATAATAATTTTGTAAATTCCAAATAATATCAACTTAGAGTAATACACAACAATTGAGTACAGCAATACATGTAGAAACAATTTGTCGGTAAACAAAGTCATGCCATTTGGCACATCGTGTGGCGCATCATGACTGTGAATATATACGGCCTATCAACAGTATGTTAATTCACAGTTTTACGTTATCATAGACCCTTTTACCGATAGCAGCCAGTCCGGAAGTTTGCGGTGATAATATATATGTTACGGTGCATTGTGGGACAAAAATTGCCATCCGTTTGAGAAAACTGTCGGTGCAACCTTCACCTTCACTGCACACTTTCGGTGTACATCAAAGGTCTATGGATGTCGTTTGCATTGCTGACGTTGTTGCTATACAGCTGCGGTCGTTGCTGTAGCATTCAAATTACCCCCTCCGCCCGGCGAAATTGGTTGGAACACCTTATTCTCGTCATACATCAGCCCTGGCAGAAGAAACAGTTGTAAAATGTTTGTTCATATCCCAAACGACAATTTAAATGGCCGGGGCTCAGTATAAGTTGGCGTGCGAATGTATGTGGTATTCTGGTATAGGTTATTGTCAGATATCGTGAATGCCTTTTAAAAAGTGCATATTGTCTGATAGTCATCGGAAGATAGTTGTATACGTTCAGCTATTTGGAATAGTTTTGATTACGATTGGTACTTGTTTAATCCCTGTCGGTAGTAGTTTGTGCGTGTCGGTTCTTGGTAGTATGATATGGTTACTGCCGAGTATCCTGACGTTATGTGGAATACGTAATTGTCGGTACTGGTATGTAGTCGACTGTGGTTGTCGGTACTCAGTGTCGGTAGTCTGTTGTGCGTGTAGGTACTTCCAGGTATAGTCTGACTGAAATGGTTTACTATCGGATTCCCCGACGTTAAATTCAATAAAAGCTTGTCGGTACTGGTATGCAGTCCATTGTGCTTGTCGGTATTTAGTGTCGGTTGTCTGTTGTGCGTGTGGGTACTTCGAGGTATAGTCTAACTGAAACTTGGTACTCTGTACTTGGTGGCTATCCTCTTCAGAACTTTTCGAGGAAGTCTAACTAAGGGTATACTGTCGGACACATCGGTACATGTGAAGTCATGTGCTTGTCGGTACCCAGTGTTTGTAGTCTGACGGATTACTGGGCGTCGTGTTGAATACGTGTTTGTCGGTGCATGTCAAGTCTGTTTCACCTGTCGGTACTTGTCGGTATAGTTTGATACTGTTAACCGTCAACCTGTTAAACCGTAAACCGTTCGTCGTTTGCGGGGAGGGCTTTCCAATATTTGTCAGGGTGAGTCCAGAGCGTCGTTTTGTAGTCGTTTTGCTTGTCGGTCTATCGGCTACGCATGCCCGTGTATTTGTTAGTTTGTTTCTTTGCCTTTTTTGCTTTTAATACCTGCAATGCAAGCCGTCATGAACAAGGCGACGCAGGACGCCAAGAGCGCCCTCACGCAGAGCCGTGAGACCTCGGACTTGCGATGCGGCACCAGCGGTATCAGTCCGCCCATCATGACCCCAATGCTGCCCAGGTTGGCAAAGCCGCATAACGCATAGGTAGCGATAACCTCCGAGCGAGTCTGTCATCAAAAAAAATAGTACCAGGAATGGCTGTTAACTGTTATACAAATAAAGCAATTTTATTCATTCTTTAGAACTTTTTGAAGGGAAAAAAAAGAGATGTCATTGAAATTATTGCATCGTAATAAGCATGAGGCTATAAACATAATCCTAAAAATACTTCTGCAATAGAAATAGCGAAAAACTTTTATTCTTGTCACGATGATGTAACATCACTCTACGTGTACTCATCGCAGATCTTCATCGACTTGTGTAGCTTTCACCAAAAGAGGGCGCTTTTCATTGACACACCTCAACAAAAGTGGGTGCTATGTCACTGAAACATCTCGCATAAGTCGCTTTACACAGTGCAGATCATTACCGAGACTACCCCTTCTTTGACGTAGGTGGACAGTTGGCCGTAGGCCACGATCTCGTTGAGAAATAGCTTGACGCCGATGAGCTCGGCCACGATGAGGCAGTCCGGACCGTCCACGCCCAGCAGCCAGGGGATTGGATACAGCACGTACCGGCAAATCAGCTGAATGAACAGAAATGGGCATTGGGATAAAAAAAAAAGTGTCAATGAAACTGAAAGGGGGCTGAAAATCCTGCAATTTTCGTACATCTTCGCAAAATCAAAAAAGGGAAAAGAATGAAGTGGACACTTTTTGACACCAGGTGCCTCCTACCGCCCTTTGTGTAAAACAAATCACGTTAGTAGTATAGGCGAAGCCTTTCGAACCCCGTAGATGTGGGTTTTGGCGGAGGTAGAGATCGGATAAGGTGATTAACTTCAAAGATGAAAGCCACTGTTTTGGAATGCAATATCATTGTTAAATATACATGTATAAAGAAACAAGTCAAAAGGAAAATTAGTTTTAACACCTGTTTTGGAGGTGGGGGGAAGATTATTTACTGGTTTACCTGAAAACTGAGATCCTCGATATTCACAAGGGATCCGAGCCACATTAGTGCCGAGTTGACGAAGGCGAGAACGCTGATAATGGCAACGAGGTTACCGATGATGTAGGCACAGATCTTGAGCCCATCAATGGCACCCACATACATGGCTTCTAACGCGTTGTTTTCCACTCTGCAATCAAACGGTTGTTTGCAATTTATAAATTTTATTTCTGTTTTGATGTTTTCACAATAAATGGTATTCAGTCTACAAACTTTATTTTCCCGAACAGTATAAAGGAGCATCATACAGTTTAACGTATACATCTTTTACCAGCAAACCGAAAAGTCGGCCCTCTCACGAAATTAATTTAATTAAAATATCGGGGACGTTATTTCATTATTTTGTGAAAATTCAACAGATATAATTACATGCATCCTAAAACGAAGACTTTAATTTCTGACTAGTACAGTAACAATATGACACGAAAATGCACATACATGTATGTTTTAAGGTAGGAACTGCAAATTTCTTTTCGTTGCAAGCGACCGCACCATGTTTTGAATGTTTTGTGATGATTCCTGAACTTTATTAGGGCCTATTGCTTTAAATATTCTTCGTTGATATTTCAATATTCTTATATATTTTTACTATCTACAGAAGATTGTAGCACAAGTCAACATACGCTTTGGCCGTCTTGATGTTGGAAATCGAAGCCGTTTTTGGCTTCTTGCTTTCCGGGTAAAACATTTTGGAGGTCACAAGAGCAGCAGGAGCCGACATGAAGGACGCCGCCAGGAGGTGGGAAGCGCTTATATCAAAGGAGATGAAAATGGCCAACACGCTGCCGGCAATAGTAGCGAAGCCCCCGACAATCACGGCGTGCATCTCCGACTCCGTCATGTCGTTCAGGTACGGCTTGATGGCCAGGGGCGCCACAGTCTGAAACGAACACGGGAAAGGGTGAGTTGGTCTGTCTTTCGTCATCAGAATATCACTCAATTTAACTTGGTCCGGCACAACACGAACCTATGATAATTTCAAATGATCCTGCAAGGATCTAGCCGTCATACTCGCTAACTTTTCTAATTTATATATTGCAGGTCAATCCAGTCACTAAGCAGTTTTGCAGAAGTTATCAAAAATAAAAACAAAACATGTTGGTTATTTAACCTTCCTATAAAACAAATTGTTTATTCCTCCAGACTACTGTTCCAAGATTTATCGTTGTATATCGGCACTCGGCCAAATCAAGTGTCTGAATAAACGGTATTTCCACTTTTAACCACGAAAAAAATTAACGGCGGAAATCTCGTAGTGCTGACGATATGCAGCCTTTTGTGAAAGGTTCTGTCACGATTATTACACATCATACTTTTGTCAGTAAACTTTCCTTTTGGAATGCCAAGTGAATTTAGTAGAAACGTGTGTATGTATCTTGACAGCAAAGTATTTCTCGGAGTACTCTCTCACAATATATCCTCGAGCTTTCCTCTGAAATCTTAGGTTTTTGTCTACCGGCGGTTGGCAACTGTTGGCCATCAATGCATAAAAATGCAAAATTCAAGATTTATTTAAAGAAAACTCTCACAAACACTTATCAATAAACGGACTCCATCACACAGCAAAATGGAGATACGTCTCTCCTTATTGAGGGTGAAAATGTGTCGTCAACTTGGACAAAGTCTCTTGCCAACCATCATGGATGAATTTTACGCACTTTCGACACCGATACCAAGGAATGGCACTTCGTGGTGTTTAGAAAGATGAAAGTCTCTTAAAGAAATACTGTCGAAAATAAAGTTAAAAATTGCTTAACTCATGGCAGGATGGCTATTAAATGGTCTTCTTCAATAGAGATCTGTTTTCCTTACCATGCCGACGAAGATGTTGGAGGCAGTAGCAAAGGACTCGGCTCCGGAGATGCCCATGGTGAAGTGCATGAGAATAGCAAGAGCCATAATCAGGGCTTGCATGACACCCCAGTAGTACAGCAAAGCAAAGACACAACTGGTGAATATGATCACCGGTAGCACCTTCACACAAGAGAACCAATATCAGTGGCACTGTTACCTCTCTATCACTGACAAAACCAAGAGTAGACAACCCTACTAAGTCTGGTCCCCGGCAGAGGGCACAAAATTCTATCCAATCGATTCCGAATGGCTATTCACATGAAGTATTTCCATGTATATCTATGTCTATACGCAATGGTCTGGATTTGGCCCATCATTAGAAACACACTCTTGAGAAAAAAATGGTCCGGTTTAACTTATACTTTATGATGGGACTTGCGGTTTTGCCGAAGTCAATTGAGTGTGATCGGCTGACTGATAAGGTTTACGCACAAAACCCCCGGCCAATGAGGTTGTGTATAGAATGGTGGCCGGACCACTTTTTGCGAGAGTGTGCTGGTGATGATTCTATTGGCGTAATACGGGGTATTCCCATTTCAAACTTTTGGGCAATAGCTAGACTTAAGCGAGAGTAATACCCCCTTGCCAGTAAGTGAGTGAGGCAGGCAGCCAGTCAGTCGGTCAGTAGGCCAGTAAGATAGATACAGAGAAGACTGTAGGCTGACTGCCTCTGAGACCAACAAACATTGATATTGTGCAAAAAAAGTACTTTACCTGTTGTTAAGTGAAACACCGATTTTGAATAAGGACATGTTTCTCCATAATCTTGTCCATTTCTACTTACGATTAACAGAATCTCGTGGTTCGACAGTGGGGCGGGGCCAAACACAAACTCCGCCCCCGCATTGGTGTAACTTAAAAACGTCTCGATATGCCCGCCGAGCCAGTTGAAGACGTCGTATCCAGGCTGCGTCCTCAGTATCAGGATGCCCAGGAACATCTGGAGCCAGAGGCCCCAAAAGACAGTGCGCCAGTTGATCTGGGAGCAAGAAGACGCACAAATTGTCAGTTTAATTTGTCCGAAATTTGACATCAACTTTAAAAAGTGCACAGCATATTGGACTTTTGGTCGACTAGTGGTTGATTTGTGACCTATGTTGCGGCTGCGCAACAGCATTAACCTCTGATCGCCTTAAGTCGAACGGTAGTCAACCTCGTTCCCATAGGTACGATCTTGCTGCACCATGTTAGTTCCCGCCATGCCTTGCGCGACTTAGTGAAGGAAAGCGCACGCAGCTTCTCGCTCATGGCTCCCTGTTGTGTGTACACATGTTGCACGCGGCTATTGGTAACCCGCGATGCGACCATCTACGATAGGCTGGGTCTGAATAGTTGTCTGGACTAGTCTATGGTCGACTAGCATGAGTTCAAGCGAAGCTAGTCGAACTATGAGTTAGCTATAGTGTTGTCGCTCAAACTAACACCTTTACGATTTAGTCTGGTTCGGGGGTCAGGTGCCCAGATTGTAAGTCTTATGGCCTATGGCACATGTGGAAGCAAACCCAACACATGTCTTCTTTGGTACTGAAATGAGTGCACGTTCTATCAATTTTCTCAAGTCATATATCACCAGAACACCAAGGTCAATCTTAATAAGGAGTTGGAGATAAAGTTGAACTAGTCTGATCCTACGCCTCATATTCAAAACAGTTCTTCAAGCACAGGTGCGAAAAAAAGTGGAAAAAACTCTCTCCTGTAAATTTGAATTGATGTCGAACATAGTCGGTGAAGTGCTTTCGGCGAATCCTTTACCTTAACACGGAAGAGGTATATCAGCCTTATGTCAGCTAAGCAGAGAAAGAGAGAGTTAATTGTTGTTGTTTGCATATTTCAAATCTGCACTAAGGGAATCGGTCTAGGTCCAAGACTTCTCACCATTCCAGGCTGCCTGGAGAACACGAAGCCGAACAGCAGCATGCAGAAGAGACCGAACAGCGACTTGAGGCGCTCCGGTTCGCTGATGACTGAGTCGATCACGCCGCTGAGGGCGCACATCGTGATGAGAATGCCCGTGAACAGTATGTACATGAAACTGCAAAAAAAAAAATTATGTATAAGAATCCCTGGTTCAGTATCATGCTTTAGAAATTCATTAGTGATAAACGATTCTTGATATGACCAATTTTCATATAATTAATACCCAAGAAAAAAAACAAGTTGGTAAAACAACTCTCAGCTTCAGCAATGTTAGCTATTGACTTGTTTGGGTAAAACTAACGGACAGTAATTGTCAAGTTTACGAAGACTGTTGTCAGTTGAACCAAATTATATCAAGTGTGGAAAGCCTGAAAACTGTAGTTTGTCGACTGTAAGTTTGTCGAAGCAGCGGTATGTTTTACAGGGTCAGCTGGGTCGCGGAAGAATTACCATTTTAGTTTTTCTGAGGAATGAAATGAAGTGCGGACGCACGGTATATTAACCGCAATGACTGTAATAACGATCACTTTTTTACAAAATTAAGTCAATGTGAAAGCGGCATTAGACAACGGTAGAAACAGATTATACGGTTTTCTTGTCCTTATCTTTTTTCTTGGTACTGTTGAATGAAGTCCTCTGTTTCATAATACCTAACATGGAAAACGTCTTCGTGGCATATCAACACCATCTATATCTGTGATTGCAGGTTGCTGCAGTGCAAGTGTTGTTTTTTTTTCGTTTCCTACCGCATGTCTTTGGTTCGAACCCCACCAGGTCTATATGTGGGTTTGGTTTCTTCGTCTCTGCCTAATTCTGTGGATTTTACGATGGACTCGCACTCCATAGACCCCCCCCCCCAACTTAGAATTTCTTCAATGTCTTCTTTCTTTGGCTTTCTTCAGGCTAATATCAATGCATGTGCTTTCTTAGGAACTTTGATTTCTTGACAAGACATTATTCAACAAAATACCAATTTATTATCAGCCTTCGCTCCTTGAGGAACAAGCCGCATTTCTGTTGCTTGCAGCCGACTACGGCAGACACCAGTCTGGCCCCAAATACGTGTTTCACCAGCCGATAGAGGGCGTACGCCAGAGCCAGCAAGGAGAAGATGAAGAGCGCCAGCGCGCGCTGGAAGTCCAACACGACGGCGTAGATGACGTAAGCTGCATAGAGACCAATCAGAACGCCGAAGATCACCCACTTGATCAGCTTCCATTGTGACTTGAGGGCGCCCTTGATTACCTTGTCGACTCTGTCGATTTGCTGGGGGTGAAAAAAAAAAGTAGAAAATGCTGAGTTACGATCCACAGACAATAGTATTCCGATGACTGGGTCGAATGATCAAAGCTGTTAAGTTTTTATATCTCTGAAAACGGCTACTTCAAGATGTGCTCTGTACTTTTGTGGGATGGTGTCATTATTCTCTGGCTGATACATGTAGGCTGCTATCGAACATGGCTCCATATGACCCACGAGCACAAAGCCATGTCACTTGGGCCAATCTTTGAAAAATGGGGTTTTGGGCTCTTTGGGAAGGACACTGAACAAGTTTTCCAATGATGTATAGAATATGCATGGGAATCAGACAAAGTCTGACGGAGTCATAGGTAATTTCAGGTTGCAATTTTCATCAATATTCTGCTGCTAAATGCTAAATGAAAAATGCAGCCCGCACTTCTTTACATTGTATGCATATCAATAAAATATGCGTCTGTACAATGGCGTGACATCACGGGTCTATATTGTCTATTGTTCATCAAAATCTGCAAGTTCCTCCCCCCCCCCTAAAACAGTCAGGTTCCGTGACGTCTCATTATAAATCGTCAGAATTATAAGATCCGGGAACCAGACTATCCCAACCAAAAGATAGGGTGCAATTTATTAGCCAATTTTAACGACTTTACATAAGACGCTGACTTTTGAAGAAAACAAAAAGATTAAACGTGAAAAATGAGGTCGTTTAGGAATTCGAAAGAATAACTGCTCGTTGCAGATTTTGCACCTCATTTTTTTTGTTCTACTGACGGGCCATTGTGGTTTATCTGGATTTGGCGCCGAGACGACGCTCGGGCGATTCCATTTGCTGAAAAAATGGGCGGTAATGAATGGTTAAAGTGATGTCTGATGTGTCGGGAAACCTTTTTATACAGGTAACTTTTATAAATCACCGCAGATTGAAACACTCGATGATAATAAAGTTTACTTTTGTATCAATGGTCCCGCGTATCATTAATACATGCCTGTGTAAACACTTGATAGATTCCACGGAGAGATGACAAGTTGAATATAGTTCATAATAGATGTCAAAATGTCACCGGTATCTTCTTTGTACTACAAGTGCCCTTTTTGTAAAGTACGGTCGCCTACTGAGAAGGGCTATACGTAATAGATTGTTTTCAGTCCTTGAAGATGATGCGCCACTGTGACAAATTTAACTTTATTTCCAATCATAATTTTGCCATGTCCAAGGATTTGTTGGTACCGATTTCATGATAATGTAAATTTCCATATTCCTGAGCAAAAACTGTGTTCGGTATTTCGTTGTTGTTGTTTGTTCTTTTCATGTATTCCGAGGAATGGATATTTGCCAATAAAAAAAATATATTTCTATATGCAAAATTCATGTCATATCCCTCACAAATTCACCAGGCACATTTTGATGTCAAATTCGAACTATAAGCCAATTACAACAATGGTCAAGTCCACTGTGGTCCAATGGTTACGATGTTCGACTCACGCGCCGTTGTACGTGGGTTCGAACCCCGACAGGGAACATGGTGCCTGTGTTCTTGGGCAAGACACTTTACTTCAATTGCCTCTCTCCACCCAGAGGAGTATAAAATGGGTACCTGTGAAGGTAGAGACCAGAATGCGCTGATCTCGAGCTGCTGCAAAAACTGGTCTCATGGCCTGATGAACAGGGGTAATATAATTGTGACGCACGTTCAGACCTTTGGTATAAAGCGCTATATAATACCAAATACTGAAGGTGCAAGAAAGCATGACCGATTTAAGCCCACCATTTAGCTCGATTCGTCCTTGGATTTGCGAAGCAGCAACTAACAATGCCACCCTCAAGCCCGGTTCATACTCTGCGCGAAAGCGAAAGCGAACGCGAATTTGTGACGTCGTGGCAAGTATTCGCGCTGCGAATTCGTAAAAGTTGAACATATTTCAACTCGGGCGAATTTCGCGGCGAATGTTTTATGACGTCAAATTCGATTCGCATTCGCTTTCGCATGAAGTATGAACCGGGCTTCATAAATAACTGAGGCAGACTAGGTTTATGGAAAAATATTAACACATTCAAGTCTCATTTTCTGGAGTTTTCCAAACAACGACTCCATCTCCGGCTTCGGGTTCATTTGTGGCTTCGGGATCATGTAGGAGTCTTTGTGAAAATTGGAAACAATCTAAACTTCGGCCTCATATAAACTTTGGCTCGTATTATAATAATGTGATGCATCTGCACCAGAATACGGTTGCATGTTGAGCCAGAGTTCCTAATGGGAGAGAGTCAGCCGAGATTCAGAAAACGCCTATCGGTGCCTCAATCTTGAATGTGGGGTCGATCAAATGGGCATTGATTCCAACGGCTAAGGGATATTCACCGTATCACATCATCGGCAAAAAAAAATGAAGTTGTAGCCAAAAAGTATGTCCTGATTGTGGACATGGCTGGGGATGACCTCGCGCGGGGTCATAAGTCATTACGCGTGCGCAAACGAGTCATCATCATCAGGCTGTGGTCTTCCATTGTTGGATGAAGCCCTCCTCAAGCAGTTTCCATTCTCTTCTGTTTGTCATTCTACTCCATGTTGCCGTGTTCATGTATGTGGTGATTTCATCTCTCCATCTCCTTTGTCTACCCCTTCTTCTGCCTGTCCTTGGTTGCCATTCTGTGGGTCTCTTGGTCCATCTGTTGTCTTGTCTTCTTGCTAAGTGCCCTGCCCATCTCCATTTCATTTCCTTGATCTTCTGTTATTTTTACCTTTGTTTTTAGGGTCTTATGAAGGTATGTCTGATTTTGTCCCGTAATTATGGATTGAGCATTCTCGTTTCCATAGCTCTCTGTGTTGTTATCAATTTTTGTTCCATCTCTTTGGTTGTTGCCCATGTCTCTGCCCCATAAGTCATTGTCGTGAGGACACACTGATTGTAGATCCTTCTTCTAAATGATATTGGAATTTCCTTGTCGGTTATTGTATCTTCCAAAACATCTCCAACCTCCCTTGATCCTAGTGTTTCAACAACAGATCAACTACAAGTGCCGACGAGTACTGAGCACCAAGACTCATAATGAGCTTAACCAAAACCTGAAATATTGAAGGAGTTTAATTGTTCAGTGTCTGTGGCAAAAACATCCAATTAATCTGAGAACTTGGGAGGCCATTGCTTGAACTCGCACCGCTGTCAAGTACTGCCACTTGAAAACTTGAACGTTTGCAAAACGGAGGCCATTTTGATTCGCGTTATCATAATATGAAAAGCCATATTATTCTCTCTGAATAGAAACTGGTAACAACCCTTAGTCTATACCTATTTGCTTTGCGGGCCAAATCAAAGACCAAAAGTGATTTATTCTCCACATGTGGTTAAATGGTATCGGCCTTCTTCTTTTTTTTAACAAGTGAACAAGTACAAAGTTCTGCATGCACTTGAGTGCCATGAAGTCCAGAAATCTTTAATGGACTGATAAGAACCAAGTTATCTTGTTTTAAGGGTTTGTAAACTGTTCGGGAGCATGTTCTTCCAACGACAGCGCCTGCCATATTATATTGCTCAGTTGAAATAATGGCATAGGCAAATTTGAAGTGTAAACACCAACTGGGGCTACTACGTGAGCAATTAAAGCTTTTCATATCGCTTTGAGGCAGTAATACACGTGACGTTTTGCGAGCAATCCCGCACCTTTTCTTTTTCTTCAAAAATATCAAAAGCAAAGAAACTTTCCACTCCCAACTAGACGTCTATAATCATCCCCATAAGAGACGTACAATTGATATTCGATGCGAATCCAAAACTGTCAAAGTTTACCGTTTGAGCAGTGGAAAAGTGCCTGACTTTTCAAGCCCAAGTTTCCGTATTAGTCCGCAAAAAAACACGGGTCACACTACCCTTGAAGGAACGTTTAACACTGTGAAATGAACACTCTTCTGTCTTTTCAATAATATGCATCATTTTCTTGCAGGAGCTTCTATATGTCACTTGGTAGTTGGTCGACCGGTCTGTCTGTCTGTCTGTCTGTCTGTCTGTCTGTCTGTCCCCGAAAAGTGACCAAAAATAATTGACTAATTGACCAAATGCCGTCGTCATAAAATACACTATTGATGACGGTTTTTGGAACACCGATTTTGTTTCGATCGATGCGCATGCGCGTTTATTTTGTATGTGTTTGTCCCCAAAAATTGACCCAAAAATATGACTACCAATTTTAAATTACCAAAAAAGCAAAAAAAATAATTAAATTCTTCACAAAATATATTTGTATTAATTCGGAAAAATGTTTATGAAAAGTTTGTAAATGGAGGCAGAATATCTGCAGTAATGTTATAGTCACGTGGTATTTATCACAATTCGCTATAAATCTATGTTTACATCTAAAGTATGGTGTTCCATATGTGCCATTGGCGTCGCATTTTTGGGCGTCGCATTCTGCATCTGAAGCTCTGGCAGGGATCATTTTGATAGATTTCATGCAAGACTTTCATGCAAGACGGCCAGAGATTATTGTGCACTCGCACTTGTTGTCCTCCAACTATAATTGTACAAACTGTCTTGCTTGTTATTTATCGAACAATCTGTAAGTGCGAACAGGTGTCAGAAGTTCAAGAATTTCTTACATTTGAGAATTTTTTTTAATTTGAAACATAAGCGAAACAGTTCAACGGAGGGGCACGCACCGACCGTACAGCGGTCATGACAACCGGGGAAACAGCCGGTTGCAACGGCGTAATTTTAGGCGTGATAGAACCAACTGCACGCACACAGTACAGAGCACTTTTCCCGGAATATCTGAAAGTTAACATTCGCACCTTAAATCTGAAAAGTTCTGCTGAACTCGGACCAAACAAATATGATTGATGGTAGGGCCGTTGGGAACTCTATAAAAAGGGAATGTTTATAATAATTTCTATGTGTGATATATATTTGTTTATTTTACAATCTCATGCCAGACCTTACAGTGTTAAAAATGTTCTGGGGAATCAAAAATAGAATCGCAGACCTCTCGTAAAAGAAGGTTTATATTAACTAACAAACCTACCTTGCAGTTTATTCCACGGAAAACAGACTATTTACGTTCTATTTATATCAAACCCCTCCAGGGTAGTCATGAAACGGCCGTTTCATGTTTCGGTTTGTCTATCTCGGTAATGGATGATTTCACACCATGTTGGAGAAGTAGGTATAGGCTAAAAATGACCAACATTGTTTTTCACCCAATCAAAAGAGAACATGAAAATAGTCTGTACATAAGTCGGAGCATGAATAAAATCGTCCATTTTTTAATGTGCGCATGCGCAGGTGGTTTACCGATTGGCGTGTTACTAATCTCAGCCAGTCGAAAATTACCTCTATAGCACAAAGTCCAACATGAAAAAAAAAATGTGCACATTGAATGGACTTACCTTGTTGAAGGCACTCTGACGGATGGGGGCCCAATCAGTGACGTCATCACCTTGGACGTCATTTTCCGCCGGTCCGGGAGGTAGCTCCGTTAAGTCAATATCCTGCCAAAGGGAAATATGTCATGTGTATCATCACCATGGTAACCGTGTTTTTTGAGAGGATGTTCAGCTGTGTTAGCTGGAATGCATTATTTACAAGAACTAGAGTTTACCAGGATTCACATTCAGGGATACAAACATTCTGTAGAAATACCTTTTTTTCAATGTGCCTGTAAAATTGCTTCATGTTCTCCTTATTTTTGTCCGAACATTTCTTGGTTTTTCTCCGACAAGTTCCTTTTACGACTGAAAAGTCTCTAAAAGGACCTAATTAGGACCGAGATCAAATACAATTATCAACTAAAATATTAAAAATATTCATTCGGAATCAGTTACACAAATTGGCCATTTTCACGAGATCCGGCCTCACAAAAATAATTGTCTTCCCCTTTCGATTTTAGTTAACGTTCAAACGCCTTAAATTCCTTTCAATTTGGAGGTTAAAACACACGTTTAAACATAAAGCACAGGAATGATGCATTGTTGTGGAAAATTTATGAACAATTTAGGCTACTAAGAATCTTATATCAATGGCATATAGAATAGTGCCCACAAATTCCAATGGGAAAAATTACTGCGGTGGGCAAACATAAGTGGTATACGTATGTGGCTTTTGCATGAAGAACCGCAAATCTCGCTGGAACAATTATGACTAGTTCTTTTAGAATTCCCGGTCTTGCAATAAATAACAGACGACAAGTCAGCTTATGCCAGTATACCAACTGCATACACAACAAAGGTCTATCATGTCGAATTACTTCTGAATCGATAACCACTCTGTACTCGACGATGGGGTGTCGATACAAAAGAAGCCAAAAAAACTCATCAAATTCTGTCAGCAGTAACGTTTTAAACTCCATTATACGTGGCCTATATATCAACTTCCGTGACAAAGGAGTACTTCAAGCAGAGAAAATGAAATTTCATAAAGTGAAAAGGTGTTATACACGATTTGTGGTAGAGCTGGTTGGAGTTTTTGGTCACGTCGGCTATTGTGCCACACAATGTAGCCCAATTATTAGCTAGTTCCTTTATACCTGAAAATTTGGGTCCGATATACAACATGTACGTGGAGGCCTTGACACCAAGTCTTGGCTTCAACTGAGGTGCACTTTAAAAAATTCCTTGGTCATATTGAAAGGAAATCTGGGTTCTATGTTGGCAAAACCCTTTTTGGGGTCATAAATGACACCTTTTGGGTCAAAATAAAACTTATCAAGACAGTGATCCTGATCAATTTCTGGGTTAAATCTGACTCGGTAACCTTGGCAAAACTGTCATTTTTGTCCCTGAAAGGTATCGAGTCAAATTGGGGTCAAACTTGACAAGGACATTTTGAGAGTTGATGCAATACTTCATAATTTAGGTTCCAGAATGCATTCAGGTGTGGCGTAACTTCGGTCAATTTTAATACTCCTGGATTCTATAGTCCTATTCAACTTTTTGGACTTTGTTGCATTATAGCCTCAAAGGGCACATGCAATATTATTTCATTATATCCGTGAAAATGCACCTTGTGTCCCGTTGAACCTTATTTTCAATTTTCAATTTGCCATTTTCAAGGGTATTTTGGTGCCTAAAGTTATGGTTTTTGTGACAATCCGAATTTCCATATTCTTGAGCAAATTTGTGAGGCGGAAACCTCAATGTTTATACAGCTATTTCAGCACAAAAAGTTGCTAGAATTTTGGATATTTGCTGTCATAAAATCTCTTGTCATTGGCTTATGTAAGTACATAATCCAATGAGCAATCCTTTCTCACAAATGTTTTCAATAAGCAAATTTTTGGTTCACAATTTGCACAGAAAACCCCTAAACTGAACAGGGTCTTCCTGAAATGACCTCAAGTGTCTGGAAAAGCATGCAAAATTTCAAAAAGTTAAAGAAGTGCGCCTTTCAATAAAATTAACCAAAATGTGTTGTCAAATAATTTTTGTAATTTAAGAGGAGTAGAAAGTTACACAAAATGTGTTCCTCAGAAAACTTCATTGTACATTGTACTGCATAAATGCAGCCGAAAACTCAAGTCCTGCAGAAACAAAAACTCTCTATATCTGACGGTCAAATCTCATATCATGTTGAAATTATTTCCCGCCAAAAAATATCAGAGGAGAAGTTTGGATTTGACTTCGATTCTTGACCTTTGACCTCGCACCTGCGCAGACTTGTTTACTTCACGACAGATGACCACAGGGGACAAAAAGATAATTTCCTCCCATCGAATAGACATGATTTTCCCCTATCTTCCGCACGCCAGTTAATTTTAAAATGTCCAATCCAGACAATTTTCACTGTCAAAACTATTGACGGCAATGTTTACGGAGAGAAACCTGAAAATTAAAAGCACATCAAAGTTTGAAGGTATAATGGCAATATTAAGACGGAAAAAATCAATTCTTGTTTTTTGCTCTGACATTGAATTTGATCTCCACACTTTATCCTGTCCTTGCGAGGGTCTATAGTCATGCCTCATGGTGAATTAAACACCCATTAGAGAGGAAATGAAACCACCGTAGATAATTCTCTATCACTACGGTCGGTGGGCCGCGTATGCGCCGTGCAGCATGGCGGGAACAGTCCCAACGCGCGGGGCAATTTTGTCCACTTAGCCTAACCGGGGCCGAGCGATGGGGGCCGTAATGCATCCCGACACAAAACCGTTGCCGGCGGTGCGAAGCTTTAGCCTCGAAACACGCTGGACGAATTTTCTGCATGGTGAACGCCCGCCGTCACAAAATGACGATTACTTTCAGGCCTATTTTTTTGTAATAACCATTAACTTCCCTAACCCGGCTGCAAGTATTTGACTAGTCTTTCTACTAAATCCAAGAGGAATTCCACATTACATTTAGTGTGAAGCCTGCTAAATCAGACAAAAATTCAACAAAACAAATCATTTTGGAAAACAATGAAACATTATTTTAAAAAAAATACACACAGGGTACGTGTCCCCAAAAAGTTGTGCAAGCAGATATCCTTTAATTTTTTTCCAAAAACTACTTAACATGAGTATTTCATCTTGATGGAGCATATTAATTATACTCTTGTGTATAATCAGTGAAGATGCCATGGAAATCCGTTCATGCGAACCAGAGATCTGACTTAAAAAGGCTATGGTTTTTTCGCCCATTCCAAGGGGATGGGATTTACACAGTTAACTTAATTTACATCCGAGTGCAAAGGCCCATGATAATCTGATACACTGATATCATTAACTGTGTAAATCCCATTGGAATGGGTGAAAAACCCATGACCTTTTACAATCTGTTAGATCTCTGGTTTGCATGAACGGATTTCCATGGCATTTTCACTGATTATACACAAGAGTATAATTAATATGCTCCATCAAGATGAAATACTCATGTTAAGTAGTTTTGAGAAATTAAAGGATATCTGCTTGCAAAATGTTTTGGGGGGAACATCCTGTACTACCCTTATTCGTTCGGGTAGCTAACAACACCCCTCAACCCCCCCCCCCCCCCCCAACAAATCCAACCCCAATCCCTCTTGAAAAGCATGGACTTCAACCCCCCCCCCGCCAACCCCGCCTCCCTCCTTTGGAAAATCCTGGATCCGCCACAGCACAGCCTCAAAAGAGCTCATGACAGGATCATTACTTGGGAACTTATATTTTGTGCCACTTTCTACTCCTCTTAAATGTGTGAAAACTATTTGACATCCCTTTTTAGTTAACTTGATTCAAACGCGCACATTTTAAAACATTAAAACCGTTCCCCACGCTTTTCCTGACAAATGAGGGCGTTGTTACTGTGACGTCATTTCAGGAAGACACTGTTCACTTTTCTGTTCAAATTGTGAACCCAAAATACGCTCATTGAAAACATGAATGTGAAAAAAACCTAGCTCACCGGCTTACAGTCATGTACTGAAACAACAACAAATCACCAAAGAAAAGAAAATTGACGACAGCAAAATATCCACAATTCTGACAAGTTTTGGTGCTAAAATAGCTGTAACATTGAGGTTAATGACATCACACTTTTGCTCATGAATATGGAAATTCACATGAGCATAAAAACCCAAAAGGTACCAAAATGACCTTAGAAATGGCAAAATGAAAATTGAAAATACGGTTAAATGGGACACAAACGTGCATTTTCAAGTATTGCATTAAAAAAAAAATACATTACATGGCCAGGGGTATATAAGCGGTGAATTCATTATCCAGGCTTGTCTTCATTTCTCCTATAATGACAACCAGGTCCATAATTATTTCCCGTTTGTGTACACAACCATATAGAAGACGCCGAATCACAAACAGACGAATCTCGAAGCCAAGGTCAAAAATGACATACACGCACGGATTATCTCCCTCTAAATTGAAGGAGCAGAGGAGTCATCTTCAATCATTCAAGATCGGCGATCTATCAGTCAAAACTCAAATATTCATTTTACAATTCCATTAAAAGCATCGCAGATTCCTGTGCAAAATAAACAGAATATTGATATTTTTGGGAAGTTGTTTTGATATCAGATGTTGCCTCTATTACAGAGGGAATATGACATCGTCATCATGAACATTCTTCATTATGTTATCTCCATAGATGTCTTCCGAGTTTATAATGTGCTAGAGAACCTTTCAGGAATTGTTGGTTTCGTATGCAGAATGAGCTAATAAAAACCGCAATCCTGGGTCGAGTAACTCAATTAAAAGAAGGAAGTGAGGTAAAACTCAGAAATTTGTATAACATATATAAACAAATTAAAAAAGGATAACATTAAAAAAAAAAACCAGAAATCGGAAAAGAAGTAGACATTTTTTTACAGCCGCCCAAAGCGGGATTCGAACTTAGGTGGCTTGTTTGGTAGGGCCCAACTACGAAAACCTCACTTCGTGACGATGACACAAAAATGCAAAAGCGGACGACTGCAGGAGCAGACCACGGACAAAGTGACTGACAAACGGACGGACAAACGAACTGCAACTGACTCCATGGATGTTTGCTTCTACTTTTATTTATTAAAACAACTTACAAGCCAA